GAACTCTCTCGAACTCTCTCGAACTCTCTCGAACTCTCTCGAACTCTCTCGAACTCTCTCGAACTCTCTCGAACTCTCTCGAACTCTCTCGAACTCTCTCGAACTCTCTCGAACTCTCTCGAACTCTCTCGAACTCTCTCGAACTCTCTCGAACTCTCTCGAACTCTCTCGAACTCTCTCGAACTCTCTCGAACTCTCTCGAACTCTCTCGAACTCTCTCGAACTCTCTCGAACTCTCTCGAACTCTCTCGAACTCTCTCGAACTCTCTCGAACTCTCTCGAACTCTCTCGAACTCTCTCGAACTCTCTCGAACTCTCTCGAACTCTCTCGAACTCTCTCGAACTCTCTCGAACTCTCTCGAACTCTCTCGAACTCTCTCGAACTCTCTCGAACTCTCTCGAACTCTCTCGAACTCTCTCGAACTCTCTCGAACTCTCTCGAACTCTCTCGAACTCTCTCGAACTCTCTCGAACTCTCTCGAACTCTCTCGAACTCTCTCGAACTCTCTCGAACTCTCTCGAACTCTCTCGAACTCTCTCGAACTCTCTCGAACTCTCTCGAACTCTCTCGAACTCTCTCGAACTCTCTCGAACTCTCTCGAACTCTCTCGAACTCTCTCGAACTCTCTCGAACTCTCTCGAACTCTCTCGAACTCTCTCGAACTCTCTCGAACTCTCTCGAACTCTCTCGAACTCTCTCGAACTCTCTCGAACTCTCTCGAACTCTCTCGAACTCTCTCGAACTCTCTCGAACTCTCTCGAACTCTCTCGAACTCTCTCGAACTCTCTCGAACTCTCTCGAACTCTCTCGAACTCTCTCGAACTCTCTCGAACTCTCTCGAACTCTCTCGAACTCTCTCGAACTCTCTCGAACTCTCTCGAACTCTCTCGAACTCTCTCGAACTCTCTCGAACTCTCTCGAACTCTCTCGAACTCTCTCGAACTCTCTCGAACTCTCTCGAACTCTCTCGAACTCTCTCGAACTCTCTCGAACTCTCTCGAACTCTCTCGAACTCTCTCGAACTCTCTCGAACTCTCTCGAACTCTCTCGAACTCTCTCGAACTCTCTCGAACTCTCTCGAACTCTCTCGAACTCTCTCGAACTCTCTCGAACTCTCTCGAACTCTCTCGAACTCTCTCGAACTCTCTCGAACTCTCTCGAACTCTCTCGAACTCTCTCGAACTCTCTCGAACTCTCTCGAACTCTCTCGAACTCTCTCGAACTCTCTCGAACTCTCTCGAACTCTCTCGAACTCTCTCGAACTCTCTCGAACTCTCTCGAACTCTCTCGAACTCTCTCGAACTCTCTCGAACTCTCTCGAACTCTCTCGAACTCTCTCGAACTCTCTCGAACTCTCTCGAACTCTCTCGAACTCTCTCGAACTCTCTCGAACTCTCTCGAACTCTCTCGAACTCTCTCGAACTCTCTCGAACTCTCTCGAACTCTCTCGAACTCTCTCGAACTCTCTCGAACTCTCTCGAACTCTCTCGAACTCTCTCGAACTCTCTCGAACTCTCTCGAACTCTCTCGAACTCTCTCGAACTCTCTCGAACTCTCTCGAACTCTCTCGAACTCTCTCGAACTCTCTCGAACTCTCTCGAACTCTCTCGAACTCTCTCGAACTCTCTCGAACTCTCTCGAACTCTCTCGAACTCTCTCGAACTCTCTCGAACTCTCTCGAACTCTCTCGAACTCTCTCGAACTCTCTCGAACTCTCTCGAACTCTCTCGAACTCTCTCGAACTCTCTCGAACTCTCTCGAACTCTCTCGAACTCTCTCGAACTCTCTCGAACTCTCTCGAACTCTCTCGAACTCTCTCGAACTCTCTCGAACTCTCTCGAACTCTCTCGAACTCTCTCGAACTCTCTCGAACTCTCTCGAACTCTCTCGAACTCTCTCGAACTCTCTCGAACTCTCTCGAACTCTCTCGAACTCTCTCGAACTCTCTCGAACTCTCTCGAACTCTCTCGAACTCTCTCGAACTCTCTCGAACTCTCTCGAACTCTCTCGAACTCTCTCGAACTCTCTCGAACTCTCTCGAACTCTCTCGAACTCTCTCGAACTCTCTCGAACTCTCTCGAACTCTCTCGAACTCTCTCGAACTCTCTCGAACTCTCTCGAACTCTCTCGAACTCTCTCGAACTCTCTCGAACTCTCTCGAACTCTCTCGAACTCTCTCGAACTCTCTCGAACTCTCTCGAACTCTCTCGAACTCTCTCGAACTCTCTCGAACTCTCTCGAACTCTCTCGAACTCTCTCGAACTCTCTCGAACTCTCTCGAACTCTCTCGAACTCTCTCGAACTCTCTCGAACTCTCTCGAACTCTCTCGAACTCTCTCGAACTCTCTCGAACTCTCTCGAACTCTCTCGAACTCTCTCGAACTCTCTCGAACTCTCTCGAACTCTCTCGAACTCTCTCGAACTCTCTCGAACTCTCTCGAACTCTCTCGAACTCTCTCGAACTCTCTCGAACTCTCTCGAACTCTCTCGAACTCTCTCGAACTCTCTCGAACTCTCTCGAACTCTCTCGAACTCTCTCGAACTCTCTCGAACTCTCTCGAACTCTCTCGAACTCTCTCGAACTCTCTCGAACTCTCTCGAACTCTCTCGAACTCTCTCGAACTCTCTCGAACTCTCTCGAACTCTCTCGAACTCTCTCGAACTCTCTCGAACTCTCTCGAACTCTCTCTCGAACTCTGTGATCTGTAAGTAGCATTGACGAACTTGTTTGCTCTGCTTGCTTGAACGTACTTTCCTGCCCTATATTCGCCCCCGGGCGGTTTTGTTGCAGGTACGTTGCATGCGCTTTTTTGCAATCGACTGTTGGAAGCATTATTCCCTTCTGTTGGTTGCATTTTTGGTTTTTATTTGGCTTTTGGAGTTTGGATGGCGGTGCGCGTCACCTATAAACTTTGTCTACGCTCTCTCTTCACGCTTGCTATCTCTCTTTGAACCACCTATCAACTCGGGAGTGCCGTCATCTTTTGACGCAGTGAGTAAGGATTTTCAATCAGGCTTAGGTGGTAACACCTGTCAACCTGGACGTGGCGATATCTGGAAACTGAGTCTGGGAACTCTACGTTACCAACTACTGGTAATCCACCGAGGGCATCATTTTGCGCGGTTCATTTGAATTTTTTGAATTTTTCACTGAACATGGAAGGGGATAAGAAGGTATGTGGAATTTGCGCCAAGACTAAGGACGGCAAAATGCATCAGTGTGCGGTTTGCAAAAAATTCCTGCATGTGAATTGTACCAGGTTCCAAATGACACATAATTGTACTAAATCAGAGAGGATTTGTCATTCTTCCTTGATGGACATTAACTCTCCGGTGGCTAGAAGAACGCGTGGTATCTCGACTAGCTCGAATGGCTCTCGACCTCAAAGCCCTTTAGTGACCCCTGAAAACAGTGGGCTGAGTTTCCTCAAAACCAGTGAGTCTACAAATTGATACTCCACGAACGGATACCACCCAGTCTGCATCTAGCGTAGATGAAAAGTTAGCAGCAATCCTTACCAGACTAGAGACAATGGACAACCGCTCTTTGGCCTTTGAGCGCAACATGGAAGCGAGAATTGAAAGTTTTCAGTCTGAAGTGACCACCAAATTGTCAGCTCTGGATAGTTTGCCTGCCTTTGTCTAAAGAGTTGATGTCGTGGAAGCTGAGGTGGCTGCTCTCAGGGAACAGGTTGCTAATGTCGAGTCTGAGCAACGCGAGATCCGTAATACCATTGTTGATCTTGGCGCTGGAGCTGCTTCTGAGGGTGTTCCGGTGGGTGTGTCTACGAGAGTTGATACGGTAGAGGCTTCTATGAAGGAGCTTGCTCGCTCTATTGCTGGGATTAACGCGGAAAGAGCCAGACTGGTGGCGGATATTCTAATCTCTGGACTCCAGGTTAAAGCGAACGTAGACAACAAACCGCTATCGTTTGCTGTTCTGCGGGTTGTCCTACCATCTATCGAGTTGAACCACATCTTGAATGCTCGGCCTCTTCTTGGCAAGTCCTCAGCTAACGTTGCGGCTGATACTTCTGCGGCTACTTCGAAACCAGTCTCATTAGTGGTGACTGTGACGTCCGGCGGCTTAGCACATGAGGTGATTGTTGCTAAAGCGCGACACGGAAAATTGCACTCTTCTTCTCTCCCTGATGACTTGGTGAGTGTGTCTGGAGTGCACCTACCTCTGCAACCGTCCTTCATCAATATCAATGAGTTTCTCCCTCCTGATTTATATCATCTGCGTCGTGAAGTTAAGGATTCAGCGAAGAAGAAGAGCTTCACTACTTTCATCCGTGATGGTGAAGTCTTCTTCTAAGAAGAAGAAGGAAGATAGGGCTACTCGCATCACGTCAATGGATGAGCTAAAAAACTTCTTGCTGGACTCTTAATAAAATCCTCTTTAACTTCTAACTCTCTTTCTCTTTCCTCTGACGCTCTTTCTTCAACTTCTCCTGCATCTATCTCTTCATCTCCCCCCTCATCATCACTACTTCCTATCTCTGGCCCTACGAGTCCTTTATCTCTCTCCCGTACTGTGCAAAGCCTGTCTGTATCCTTGCTGGAGCAAGATGGATTACGAGTCTACCATCTCAATGTGAACTCTCTCAAGGCTCATATTGAGAGGGTCAGACACTTTCTGAGTACTCGTCCCCCATTTCATGTTACTGCCATGACAGAGACTAAACTCGGCCCCCTTATTGATGATGACGTTGTTTCCCTCGACAGCTATAGACTCCTCAGACGTGACCGTAATACGCGGGGTGGTGGTGTCGCGCTTTTCATCAATACTTGCTTCAGAGTTAAAATCCTTGCAACCTCCACTCATTTGTGGATTAGGAAACCTGGACTTCCTGAGTATTTGTTTTGTGAAATTGCTGGCCATGGTGTCTTTCCAATTTTTATTGCTGTTGTGTATAGGCCGCCAGATGCTCCTTTCTTCGAGGGTACTGATTTTGTACCTTTGCTGCAGCTAGACTTGTAAAGCTATAGCACCAAAATGATTTTGGGTGACTTCAATGCAGACCAGCTCTCTCTAACGAGGCATGATGCACCTATTGTGTGCTCTCTCTGCTCTGATTTTGGTCTCCAACAGGTCCCCTATGGAGCAACTCATCATACTTCTGATGGTGACACTTTGCTAGATTTATGCGTGATTGATAATGAGGATACTCTGTTATCCTACTGGAAAACGGATGTTCCTTTTATTGATGGTCATGATCTTATCCCGGCTACACTACGGGCAGTCGTGCCTCGTCAGACTCTGACTAGTGACATCTGCTATAGGGATTTCAGTGCCCTTGACGTGGATGAACTTACCGTGCACTTAATGTCTAGTGACTGGTCAATCTTTGGTGAGTCAGCAGCTCCTGTGGTTGACCTTGTCTCATGTTTGATTTGTTATCTGGGCGATGCCATTAGTGCGGCTGTTCCTGTTAAGACCGTGAAAAAGGACTTAAAGCGGAAACCTTGGCTTACTGCTCGCATAGATATGCTAGTGGCTGTCCGCGATCGACTGTACAGAGTGTACAGGCTGGTTCGCTCTAGAAGAGCTCTTCTTGAGTATAGAGCTGCCCGTGATCATGCTCACGGTGAGGTCGAGAGTGCGCGTCAACTATTCTTTGGCCAGCGTCTGAAGGTGCTATCTAACCCAGGCCTCATCTGGAAGGAGTTACGACGTCTTGGAGTCGCTGCTGTGGATAATGTGACCCAAGACTTCGATCCTGAGGTGTTGAATGCATACTTTGCTGGAGTGTCCTTCAATCCCAATGAACTATCTGTAGACGTCTTTCTTGACTCTTTTCTGGGTGCAGCATGTGCTGCTGATAAGGGGTTTTCATTCGGTCCAGTCACTGCTGAGGATGTACGGAGTGCTATTCGGCACTTCTCCTCTGGAGCAAAGGGGACTGATGGAATTCCCAAGTCGGTAGTCTCAGCGGCTCTGCCTGTTCTCACGGACTATCTCGTCACAATCTATAACGCGTCTTGTTCTTCAGCTTGCTTTCCTTCACAGTGGAAAAAATCCCTTGTAGTGGCGCTCCCCACGATAAAAAACCCTTCGGAGGCTGGCGATTATAGGCCGATTGCCCTACTCTGCTTTCTGTCCAAGGTCTTGGAGAGACTTGCCTCCTTACAGATCCTTGAATATCTTGCCGAGCGCTCTATACTGGATCCACGCCAGACTGGCTTTTGCCCCTTCAATAGTACACAGACGGCTCTGCTTAAACTGACGGATGACATACGTACTGGGATTGACAGACGGGAATTGACGATGCTTCTCCTCTTTGACTTCAGCAAGGCATTCGATTCTGTGTCACACGTCCTGCTCTTACGCAAGCTGGTCGGTTACGGGTTCTCAGCGGCGGCTGTCAGGTGGATAGCGTCCTACCTTAGTGGCCGTACTCAGTCGACCGTGGGAGGCGCGAGTGGCATGTCCTCGTCTCGTCCCTTGAATAGGGGGGTGCCGCAGGGGTCAGTTCTTGGCCCTCTGCTGTTCCTCCTGTTCATAAATGACGTAGCGGGAGGCTTGGGACAGGGCATTCAGCATCTGATCTACGCTGATGACCTTCAGATTTATTTGAGCTTCTCACGAGCTGATATTGAAGTGGCCACTTGCGTTATGAGTTCTGCCGCCAAATGTATCATGGACTGGGCCGCTTGTAATCGCTTGCGACTTAATGTTGCCAAAACCAAGGCTATCATTTTTGGCTCTCAATTCTTCATCAATGAACTATACTCTTTGTCCAATTTGTCCATCAACATTGACGGTGCCAGTGTTTCTTTTGATTCTTCTGTGCGTAGCCTTGGAATGGTCCTGGACAGCAAGCTCACTTGGAAGGAGCACGTGGCCGGTATCACTAGAAGGGTGCATTCGGTGATGTATCGGCTGCGATTTTTCCGTACCAGTACCACTCAAGGTTTGTATAAACACCTGATCGAGACTCTGGTGTTCCCGGTGGTAGATTACTGCTGCCTGGTGTATGCTGGTCTGTCTGAGGAGCTTTCTCTGAGGCTTCAGCGTCTCATCAATATGGGAATTAAATACATCTTTGGGGTGAGGTGGGACGAGCATATCACTCCTTACCGACTGCGCTTGAGCTGGATGCTGAGTGGGACACGCAGAAAGTACTTTTTGGGTTGTCAGACGTTCAGAGCACTCAGGATCGGGGAGCCTGTTTACCTGGCGGATCTCTTCGTCCTCAGCCGTGGCGTACGTCCTGTGAGGGGTGAGGTGAATCCGCTGCTGATCAATTCGTTTAGGACTGAGGCCATGCGCCGCTCATTTCAGACTTCGGCGGCATATTTTTGGAATTCCCTTCCTAGCTTGGTCCGAGATCAACTGTCCCTTCCCGCTTTCAAGCTGGCACTGCGTGCCTACTTGAGGGATAATCCTTAATTTTCTCACCACATCTTAACTCTTCGTCTATCCTAGCAGTTATTCCAGTAAATTTCATTCTTTCTTATCTTAGTATCCTCCTTCATCTTCACCATCCTCGCCATCTTCATTATCTTCAGTCGCTTTCGTCACTCCTAGTATTAAGAGTCCATAGTTCTGGTGCTATTGTTATATATAACATCTGATTTATTTTACGTGCTCTGTTATTCCTATGCTTATACATGGCTTGCTGCTACTTGTCTACTCATATACATCTTTTTCACTTGCTAAAATTTGCTGCCTATCGCTGTATGACTTTGCATCATATTGTCTTATTTGTACAACATACTGTACAGTAATAAACCATCAATCAATCAATCAATCTCTCTCTCTCCCTCTCTCTGTCATTTTTATTTATTTTGCAACTTATTTATTTTGCAAATTTTTGTAGATATAATTTGACTTATCCGCTACCGTTTAAACTATATAATCGTTTCGATCATTTTGCTCATCTCTTTTATGTAAAAGAAAACGACAGCAACTGCGTTGTTTTCAGAAAAAAGTTCGCCAAGTACGCACCTGTTTGTTCGTTTTTTGAAAGAAATAGATTCACAGAATTTGAATTTTTAAAAAGTTGGGAAATATGAAAAACAGCCCGAGTGTTCTTCTCTTACAATGGTTTTGAAATTGAAGGAATCAAAATTCACAAGAACAAAATCATTTGAAAAATCAAAGGGAATAAAAAGTACTTAGTACAAGTATTTTTCGAGAATAGGTGTCTCAGAGATTTTTGTGTTCACCAAGTACTTTTTATTCCCTTAGATTTTTCAAATGATTTTGTTATATATCGGGTATATATATATCGGGTGTAGGACTCAATTTTTATAGATGTTTGAGTAAATCAGTTTAATAGAAAAAAAAAAGAGAACAACGAACTTAATCTAGGAAATATTGTATATCGTTTTCTATGACCTTACGCCATCTCTCCGGTAACATACGAATACCGTCGCGAAAGAAACGCACATCTAAGGCGTGCTGCATTGACCGGAACAAGTGATAGTCGGATGGAGCCAAGTCTGTTGAATATGCTGCGTGCGGGAGAACTTCCCATCCCAAGTTTAAGAGGATCTTCTGAGTCGCGCGAGCAACGTGAAGTCGAGCATTGCCATGCAGCAGTATGACTTGCCTACTTCCTTTCCCAGTAAATGGCCTTTTTCTATCAAGTTCATCGCTCAGTTTGTTCAATCGTCGGCTGTAGCGTTCCGCAGTCACCGTCTGACCAGTTTTCAGGAGTTCGTAATAAAGCACACCCTTCATGTCCCACCAGATATACACAGGACAATCTTCTTTTAGTGGATGTTCTGTTTCGGCGTCAATGTATTGGGTTGCCCGAGATCTACCCACGACTTTTTATGTTTGGGATTCTGGTGAAATATATACTTTTCATAACCCGTGACAATTTTCCACAAGAAGTCTTTTTTTGTTGCCGGGCGAACCGTGAAAGGCATGTGTTCATACGTTGACCTAGGTTGTGTTCGGTCAACACACCTTCCAAATATTTGGATTTTTCCCATTTGTCCAGGGCACCGCTGGTCACTAAGATCGAAATCACCACTTGTAAAACATTTGTACTAATAATGACACATTTCATGAAATACAACGTCGGCACCAAGAACACTACATATTGATTCCCGTGCTTTAGAAGCATTTTTTCCTTGTTGGAATTCGTATAAAATGCAGTGCCGAAAGCGCTGTTTATCAGTTGCCATCGTAAACTCTGCTATTCTAAGAGGTTATGCAACTCACGTAGACTTGTCGTTCGGTGTTCTGAAACCTTTTCTCCGATCCTTTCAAAACCACAAAAGACTGCGAAAATATTTCCATTTTAAATATAATTTTAAGCTCGAAGAAAAAATATGTAAAAATTAAGTCATACACCTAATATATTTTTGAGTGATAGTAGCGCCGCTAAACAACAATTCGCGTCCTATCTGTGAAATCCCACACATTTACGGTGTCCACAGTCCTAGCGTAGCCGACGGATGCGCACTTTTCGAAGCACAAGGACTTGCGTCCCTTGGCGCACTATCATCACTACAATATCCACAAAACTTTCGTGAGATATGAGATGTACAAAGTTTGGGGACGGCTATTTTTAAAAATTTGTGTAAACAATTGTTTTCTCTAATATTAGAGAGGAGGTTAAATTATGTTCAGAAAAAAAAATTAGTGTCCTGAAAGCATTATCTACGCTGTAATTAATTATTTAGTTTTAGGTGAGCTACTCTAGCTGTATAGAAGTGTGGTCGGTCCTTGCGTGCGCCCCATTCTGTTATGGGCGCGTACTTGGCGAGAGACGCTTCCGCATCTCCTGATTTAGCCCTCTTCTGTATGATATTTGGACTCTCTTGATCATATCGCTCATTCCTTCCATATGTTTGCTCATATTCACTCATTTTCATTGCGAAGTATGTGTTAAACCAACTTGTGAATTTTTTTCGAGAAAATCAATTTAATTTTTTGAGAATGAAGGATTTGGTTTGCAATGTTTAGTCTATTATGTTCAACCCTCATTTGACTCATACTCCTTGATCAATTCGAATTCTTCGAAGCTTTCTGAACCTGAATTTGATGAAAATCAAAATTTAAATGGGAATCTCATTTTGCTTTGAGGTTTCATCATACCCTGCGTTTCATTTTATCTCGTAGTATCTCTCTTACTGGAATAAAATATGTTACCAACTACGCTAGTCATGATGATCAATTAAGAGATGCGAAGATATGATTCATGAAAGGATTCCACAGTGAAAAATGTGAAAATTCATCGTGATGACACGAGACAGTGTTAGTGAAGAAAACCGTGAGACTGCTTAGTTCAGCAAACTGGCGGCTTTGCCAAGTTTTGAGGACTCCTTTAGAGTCAGAGTACGATCAGGAGCGGAGTCGAGCGGACCTCTAGCTCAGGCCTTCAGCCAACAAATCGAGTCGAAGTCCCTAGTCGAGCCGTAATAACGCGTTATACCAACCCATAATAAACCGAGTCGCGTATTTGAACCAAACAACAAATAATATACCATCCTTTTACCGACTAAATACGCGAGTGTTTATTTAGAACTTCACAAGTAATATCCCCGATACCTGTCCTAACATCCCTTCGAATGAGCGAAACCCCCATGGACTCACCGCGGAAGTTAGCTGAGGATTAAGTGACCATACCAAAGGATTACAGTGCAGGAATACGTGAAAAGGTGTAGTGTAAAGGAGATTCCACGCACTGACGGTGATAGCCGAAGGAAAAGGACACTCTCATTCACATGAGTTTTACCTCCGGGTAAAACTTTTAACGTCCCATTGGCGCCCGACTAGTTTGGCACTCATTCAGGGAATCGAGTACAACCACGAGGAAATTTTATGTGATGATTCCAGAGTTGAAGGGATACAGTGAAGAATTCAGTGGTATACGCGTGTACTAAGAAGAGCCGACGGTCAAAGGGCAGACAACCCAATTCAGTCTCTTGCTTCAACCTCATCCGATACGGTTGAGTGTCAAGCATTTCACATTTGTGAAAAAGAAAGAGGAAGAGAGGAAGGGAGAACGCCCAAAAAGTAAATTTCGAAAAAAAAACAACGGCTTTACGTCATCACGAGAAGCCAACACCCGAGTTTGAGGCAGAGACAACTCGCCAAATCGAAAAGCAGAGACAACTCGCCAAATCTAAAAGCAGAGACAACTCGATAAAACGGATAGCAGTAACAACTAGCAGAGAACCGCTGGCGGAGACAACTACCAGAGACAACTCGCTAAATCGGGTAGCAGAGACAACTAGCAGAGAAGCAACGCGCAGAGACAACGAACGAGATCCAGGACGAGAAGATGCACATTTGGCTTCTGTTAGCCGTCTTTGGGTCTGCGTCAGTACCAAAAATTCTCAAAATTCCTCCTACCCGTTCAACGCGATCTTTGACCAGTCGGACTCGTCGACGCGACCAACGGAACAGTGACTCAAGACCGTACCTCTCACGATTAAAATTAGTTAGAACAGACATGGACGGGGTATCAAACGGGGTAACGACAGGAGTGCCGACGGAACCGGTAAACTGCAAAGCATCAACGACTAACCCATCAGTTGCACCATGCACGGCAAATACAACCATAACATTTACAACTTTACATTTCAGAATGAGCACAAGTTCGGTCGCGCCCACATCAATTGGTATTTCCCAACCGTTCGCATTTACCCCTCCAACATCGGGAATTTTCACGGGATTTAATAGACCGGATCTAGGATTAGGGTAACCGGCCTCAGCATATGGAAGTAATTACCGATTTAATAGACCAGATTTGGGGCTGGGACCATACAATCCGACGTTGGCCAGAAATTACGCGACGTGAAGACCAGATATAGATATAGGGCGAACATTTCATATGGTTTACGGACTCGGTAGGCCGGAAATGGGACTCAGAAGCCCAATGTCGGACATAACCGCGAGATTTGGAGGAACAAATTTCTGCCTGGGAAGATTCAGTGCGGCTCCAGGAATAGAAGTTGAGAGTGTAAACTCAAATGGCAATCCTGAGGGTACGAACACAGGACAACAGGTTAATTCAGGTCTCCGAGGACAGAACTACGGGCTACCAAAGGGTTATAACCCATGGGCAGATTACTCCTATGGGGAGGGTCAGAGAGTGAGGAGCGCAATTAGACCGCTGCCAAAGAATGAAGTTGGGGACGACGTAGAAAGGTTCATTACGAGCCTAAATATGTCACGCTGACTCTTAAGACCGGGAGACGAATTCAATTTTTGCACCAATGCTTGCCGAAATTTGGCCCAAAAGCAAGATTGGCAGTAGAAAGCGCGTTAACCAGCATTAATTCACTCGATGATCTCGTTCTGAAACTTCACCTGTCGTTCGGTACGAGGGAAAACCTGCGTCAAATTCTTGCGAAAATGTCACGCCTCTATCAACAATATGGGGAGTCAGTGACGGACTATGAAGCGCGATTCCGGGCCCTTCAATT